AAAACCAAAACAAAAACTATACAATAGAAGAAAATAAATTTACAAATCAAATAAAATGAAAGGCAGCAGAAAGAAGAAAAAAAATCTTACCATATCTGCCCCTTTTGTCCAAGAATATAAAGTGATTTCATATTCAAACAATAGTGATTAGTGAATAAAGTGAATAGTGATAAATGGCAGAAAATGCTAAAAATTTCAAAATGTATAAATAGCTGAAATGCTAAAAGTCATAGCTGGAATGTCCTGAAGGAGCTGAACACGTTGTTGATATGGGACAAATATTGCAGAATGAGATTTGTGCCAAAACACGTACAGAAGAAAATGGATCTCAGTACTGTAAAGGTCCTTCTCCTCCTTGGATGTTGTGAATGACAGTGGTGTAAAGCACTTTTCAACTCCTTTTTTTTTCTTTTCAACTCTAAAACTGAATCAGATGAAGATGTACATCCAATAATTACTTTCGGAAGTTTTTATCAAAATCCTGTTTGTGATTCATGAGATATTTTGCTAACAAACAGTGAACTCCAACAGTACATGCTTAAGTTTTAAATAAATGTCTTGCATAATAAGAAGTCCGAGTATGAGTTCCAACACAATATTTGTAAAACTGACTGAATTACAACTATTTTTAAGTTAATCTTAAATTCAGTTGGCTCCAGAAGTTACTAGTTATCTGTGTATATCTGATTATTTATTCCTGAAGACTTCATTCACATCTGTTCCTTGGTTCATGCGATATTTTGCTAACAGACAGACAGAGTTGACTCTAAGTGGTTAATAGCAACATTTGGGGAAATGATTTTRTCTTTTGGTTCAAAGTTTGTGTTGAGGATTAGACTCAGCTACACACTCCAAATTCTAGCCCATCATCTGAAAAACTGACTGATTTATAGACATTTTTATGATTTTTGTGATTGGTTGGCTGTGGCAGCCATCTTGATTTAGGTTGATTCCAAAACTTAATTAGCTACAGTTGTCCCTCCATCAGTAATTCGTCTAGTAGTTCATGAGATATTTTGCTAACAGACAGTTAAAAGCATTCTGACCTGCCGTTGAATTAAGATCTTTTGTAGTTGACTTTATTCAYGACCCTGTTCCGTTCTGACTCTAAACTAAACACAGGTTTATTCCTCTGCAGCAGAAGCTTAAACAAACTGTTTCAGAGACACAGACAAATGGAGGTAAATTTGTGTTTTTATTATTCAATCAAACAAAAAGCATCTTCAATCAAAAAAAATAATTTCAATCAAAAATAATTTTTTCAACAAAAAATAAATAAATTCAATCAAAATTAATATTTTCATAAACATACAACATGGAGACCAACCTGGAGTTGAACCAGCTATCTTCCGATTCACAAGCTTGGCTCCTCTACTCCCTGCACCACAACCCTAGTTTGTGATTTCTGAGTTCAAATCTTTTTTGAGTTCAACCAAAAACTTGGAAAGTCAACCAAAAACTTA